ATGGCTTGGTGGTGGTCTCCGTCACCAAGCCCGCAAGAAGCTTGTGCAAACGCTTGTCCCGAGAAGTGCTTGTGAGGGGTACTTGTGCTTGTCTGCAAGATTCAGATGATAAGAGCAACTTTAGTAAAGCGTGTCATTGAGCTACCCTTCGTCACTCAAGGGGTATGTTCTTGCGGTGCCCGACGTGAGGGCTTAGCGGGTGATGCTAATTAGCCACCCGAACCACCAAGTGAGCGGTCGACACAATGGGGATTAGCGTGTTGGCAAACACGTGAACCTCGGGAGAAAAGGATTGTTATTCCTGAGGAATGATATGATCTTCCAATGACATAATATCCATATTTTTGGCAAGACCACTAATTTGATTAAAATCATCGTGTCAACCTTGTTCTTCCCGTTGGTTTGCATCCCCATTACACAAGCTTGCAATTACTTATATATATCTTAAGCTTGTGTAGTTGCTCTTGTAATTAGATAGCTTGTGTAGCTAGCTAATTACCTTCTTGCTTGTGTAGCATAGAAGTAGCTCCCTTATGTGGCTAATTTGGTTTTAGTAACCTTGTTAGTCACATTGCTTTAAGTCTCAGCCTGTGTAGCTAAGTATTTGCCACGCTCTCTCTAAATTAGGCATTGGTTGCCTTGTTATTGAGCATTGCTAGTGAGCTTAGTTAGCTTTGTGCTTTTTGCTTACTAGCATGTGTAGGAGCTCCTTGTTACTTAAAGTACTAGTGGCATAGGTTTGTGACACATTGCTCCTAGAATTGTTTAGGAGAGCTCTAGCTAGCCCGGCACCTTAGTTGCTTTATTAGTATCTTTGCAAGGTGCTAGTGAACATATATAGAGGGGTGTAGTCTTGGCTAGACCGATTGTTTTAATTCCGCATTTATATCGGTTAGTCGACGCGATTAATTTTAGAAAAGACTATTCACCCCCCCTCTAGTCCGCCATCTCGACCCTTACAAAAGGATCTGACTTCTTGAAAAGACTCTAAGTGTACTCTGAGTTGTATTCTTGATAGGCCGAGGCCGCGTTCTAGAGTCCCATCGGAAAAGAACTCGGTTTTTCGAAAGAACTTGGATAAAACTCCATCTCGGATATGGAGCCTGAGTTTGAATCGGATGCGCAAAGCCACAAAATCTGAGTTGGATTGGACATCACGAGCTGCGCGAATCTTCCGGCGAGTTCATCTGTCGTAGTCGCCAAAATAGAAAGATCTTCATGGTGATCCGAATCTTCAAGGAGACGGCTTTGGAGCTTGCCATTGTCGTCCGCCTCGTAGATCCATGAGCCGAAGATGAAGGTCGATCCCGTCGAGAAGATCATGTTGTCGAGGTCCGTCGAGCTCTCGGATGCAAATTTGCCGAAAGCCCTACACAGGTGCGCCAACCGCCGATGATGTTCACCATCGTAGCTGGTGCCACGGGGTGTTACCTAGGGTGTTTGCGGATGGTTGTTCTCAAAATGGATGCCTATTTTCTATTGCTTGGGATGCAAATTCGAGAACTCGACGAAGAAAAAAAGCAGGTTGATCATGAAGAGATCAACGATTTATCCTGGTTCGGACCCTCGATCGTGATCGAGTAATAGCCCTACGTCCAGTCGGCGTTAGCCTTTGCGTTGGATTGATTGTGTTATCTCTTTTCTTCTCCAAGAACCCGGCCCTCCTTTATATAGTCAGGAGACCGAAGTCCTAGTCGGTTTACAATGAGAGTTCCTAGTAGGATTACAGAATAATACTTCTACTAAGATTATATGGAAAGAATCCTAGTTAGACTAGATCTTCTCTCTTCCTTGCGGGGCATCCCGTGGGTCCCGCATCGACACACTCCCTATATCCCTATATCCAAACGCCACAAGTTAGGGAGGGTATGTAGACTTTTTTCGAGAAACAGAGCGCACACGCTAGGTACGGGCATAACCTGATTTGCCCTAGGGAGGGCACGGCACATGATGGCGACCAAGTATTTGCGGGGCATTGGTTGCCTTGTTATTGAGCATTGCTAGTGAGCTTAGTTAGCTTTGTGCTTTTGCTTACTAGCATGTGTAGGCTCCTTGTTACTTAAAGTACTAGTGGCATAGGTTTGTGTGACATTGCTCCTAGAATTGTTTAGGAGAGCTCTAGCTAATGTGGCGGATATATGGCTCATAGGGGCCCTCGCTAGCCCGTTGTTTTAATTCCGCATTTATATGGTGCATGCAATTTAGAAAAGACTATTCACCCCCCTCTAGTCAACAATCAATGACAAAAGGATCGATGCGACAATGGTGAACTCGGTGACTACAAGTTGGCGCGGGTACACGTCAGGTGCGTGGGGGAGCTAGAGGGGCTGTTCTAGGAACGACTTGTGCAGGGTTGAGTAGGAGCGGATGGGGCGGCTCACCATGCGGCACGCCTCGCCATGATGATGAAGGTCGATCCGCCGAGCAGATCATGTTGGAGGCGTCGAGCCTCGGATGGCGCCCTACCATGCGGCACCACCTGTAGGGCTGCCAATGAGTTTTTTGGCCAAGGAGGTGTCGCGATGGCATGGTAGCGGACGCGCGGCGGTGTAGCCGGCTTGGTGGGCAGCCCCCTAGTTGGAGTTCTGTTTCGCGGAGTTCCCTACTAAGGCGTGGCGGCCATGGCGAGCAGCAGGAACGGCGCACTTGGCGGCGGCGGAGATCTAGTGTGCCGGCGTGGATTTGCCCAGTTCAGGTGAGCCGCGGTCGGAAGAAGTCCGGACGGAGGTGGTGGTACCCTTGGCCGAGGCGCTGGTGGTCTCCACCCATGGGAACAGCGACGGCGGACCAAGAGCCGGCCATGGCGGCGGACAGCAGCAGTTTTGGCGACATGCCGTGGCTCTGGGCTGGAGTTGTTTGTTGGCGTGCGTATGGGTCTCCTGGCAGTGTCCCGGAGGTTAGGCACCTGTGGCTGCTGCCGTGCGGACCCGGCGGCGGCGTGGCTGTGCCATGCGAGGAGGCCACGGGGCTCCAGATGGGGGTGCTGTACGTGTGCCTCTACCTCATAGCGCTCGGCACCGACCAGTTTGACGAGCGCGACTCACCCTCGCCTTCTACGACCGTGTCTTCGTCCCGCTCTGCCGGAGCCTCATGACCGGCTGGCAGGGGCTCACGAACCTGGAGAAGATCGGCATCGGCCTGGTCCTCTCTATCGTCGGCATGGCCTCCGCGGCCATCCGCGAGAAGAAGCGCCTCAACGTTGCTGCCACGAGTGGTGGCGCAGGGCATGTGTCGCTGCCTATCAGCGTGTTCATGTCCATCTAGGCCGCTAAATTGGGGAAGAAAGGTGTCTCGATGGAGGGATTCACGGCCATTGAAGGTAACAGTCCATTCTTTCGATGGTATTTTCCAAATATCATGATCTCTCAATGCTATGAAACCAATTTTTCCTTTTTAAGTTGATATTTGCTATGACAAAAAATTTCTTGGAATCTATTGGCACACAATAAAGTTCGATGACTGCAACTTGCCAACAAATGATAATAATATATAAAAAGAAGTATTACAACAGTGGTAAGACACTAACTGCTCCTGACCACGGGCAATTTTCAGTTCACATGACTCCAGCGAAGTGTTAACTTGTTTTTCTTAATGGCAAGTGTTAACTTGTTGGAGTTGCTTCTCTGACAAAAGCAAAAGGAGAAATATAGTTCCACTGTGCGAGGAGGCACAATACAAAGAACTGTTGAGAGATTGTTTAACAAGTCTTGAGCCAGTAGAGAAAAGCAAGAGGAGAAATAAAATTCCCCTGTATATATGAATCAAAACTCAAGTTAAAGGTAGGAAGAGAAAATAGGCTTCCTGCCTTCATCCCATATTCCCATGGGCTTCCATGGGAAATGTTAAGATCATGTCAAAGCTGGAAGAACGAATCAAAGAAAGCAGAAAAAGGATGAGGCCATCAGCTCTTGGAACCTGTTACGGATTACAACTCCAAGAATGGGAGGGAAAATTAAAGAAAGGTGGGCTACGGACTGAAGAAGAAGTACATCAAGAAACATCTATCTATCTGAAAATGCTCCCCTAATCCTTCTTCAGCTCCTTCTAATTCTGCCTTGGATTCGATTTGCTCGGCGTCTGCTTCTTCAGGTTGTTACCGACGCCGACGCCACGGTAGCAGCAGCGTTCAGCAGCTGTGTGGCCGCTGATCTTGCGTCCGCGATCTGCAGCAGCTTAAGCGGCTGGAACCGGAGCCCCGGAGCCTCTCTCCTGATGCCGATGCCGCGCCATCACGATCTACAGGTGCTCTTGGCGCGCAGACAGGCAATGCAGGAGTAGCAGCAGAGCAGAGCACAGATGAGGGGAGCGCAGGCAGCGATGGATCGCATGGCCGGGACGCGTGCTTGCGGCCAGGCGATCGAACCACTAGCCCACTGCTACGATGATATATACCAACTGCCAGGCGATTGCGAATTATAGAGAGGAAGGCAAGGTTTGCATGCAATGCAGTGGAGTAGGCATGTGGATTTCTGATCCAGCTGCTCTGCCAGTATGCATGCTTCTTTGCAGTGGAGTAGGCCTGTTCGCTGGTTGGTGCTAGTGCTGGTTTGGGCTGGCTGGTGCTGGTTTTTTGTGAGAGAAAAACACTGTTGGCTGGCTGGTTTCCTGCTGCAGACAGTCGACGTTGGCATTGTGAGGCTGCTGTCGCACAAATGCCAATGTCGCCAGGCCGGATCATGCTTGACGCCTCCTTGTTTTTGGATGATGGATAGAGGAAAGCGCCACAAAATGGGGGTGAAGAACTCAATCAGTGGCTAGTAGTAGTACTAGAGATAAATAAAACAATGTAAACACAGCTTTATGACACTAGTTTAGTTTGTATTCCTCCTGCTGTTTTTCAGACGTGGAATCTGCCCAAGAGTAGTTACCACTCTCCTGGATGCTAAGCTCTATTCGTTACTCCTCGACCCGATCCCTACTCGTTAATGTGTACAACTTTGCCTCTGATCAAGCATCCATCCACAGCTTTGCAATTGCTCCTTCATCACTAGTGACAACATCTAACTGCATTGGCCTCTATCTTTGTCATTGCCTTCCACTGAATTCGGGCTTGAATTAGGCACGTGCCTTTTCTTGCCGGTTCTTTGCTGTACTCTATTAGTGGTATTGGTATGAAGTGCAGGAGATAATATTGTTGCACGCCTAGAACTGCGGTCAAATTCTCTACAACATATGTACCCTGCACAGATCCGAAGATAACTGATTGTGAAGAAAAACAAAATGACTTCTCCATTGATCTTATCTTATGAGAAATACCAAATGAACACAAGCGCCCGTGAGTCTATATATGGTTAATGAACCCTAAGAGAAGGGGTAGAAAAATATGCTAACCAATAAGCATTTATTGTTAACATTTTAAATATTTTATCTTTAGAACTAAATTAATACTGAGGAGTTCCATACTGCATTATGTATTTACACTCCATTGTAGCTTCTGTGTTCCTATAGAAGCAATAACTTTGTATCATCTTTTAATTGTTTTGTTCACATAGAAGAAATAGAACATAACTATATACCTGAATGATATAAACGTTGAATTCCTTCTTGCGTTTGACCTGAGCAAATGATGCAATGCAATTAGTGCTTTTATTGAACAATTGTTCATCACATATTATTTGAAAGTGATAATATACCTCTGGCGATAGTAGTTAATGATGTGCCAAAGTACACCCTACACCTTATGAAGTTCCAAAAAATATCCCTTTTTATTTGTATAGGTGAACGGGTAGATGAATGATCTGCAAAAACCTAGAAAAGTGAATGCTATATTTAGTTAGTCAACATCAAACAGTTTAGTTTTGTGTATGTAAGAAGACATATATATAGAGTAGTGACTTTATTAGAAGAACAAGGATGGAAAATAGTGTACTACCTCATTTATTTGAAAGTATGTACCATCCAATGGGAATATTTCTCTGTTTGCTGTCCGACAAGGTATCTATTATGAAATAAAGTAGTTTTGAATTATTCATAGATCTTGAAATTGGAGTTTCCCAAGAGAAAGATTGCATCGTTCTTGTAATATTTTCAAAAGTGTACGGTTATAATAAGTGGTAGATGAGATTAAAGCACACCAACTCACCAGAATTGTAGCATTCACACTATGGTCATCGTAATCACGAATTATAAAGAGGTACGGGTTGCAATCACCATGAACCCTTGGTTCAAACTAGTAATCCAAGCAATTTGTCATTATCAGTTTGTTACTTCCATAAAGAATAATGCATAGTTCAGAAATAATTATAAAGAATAGAAGAACGAAGCTAACAACTACTAACCGTGTCCAAGATTTCATGCCCATCTGGGATTATGTACCTATAAAATGCAAAAGTGGCATATCAGAAAATAGATGTGCATATTTTTGAGGTATTTTATAACATATTTCTGTTGACTTAATTGAAACAGAAATCATGCCATACGCAAGGTACTCTGTTCGTAGATTGTATCTCCTTTGAATTGGGATTGGGTTGTCATGTGGATGGATCAAAATCATATCTGTTCCTTGTGATGGCCCTGTCGTTGCATGTTCAGTAGGTTTCATTGGCCGAATATCAAACGCTACATCATAGCATGGAACAACATCTTCTATATCAACAATATTGTGATACTGTTCATACTCTTCCTGATACTCTTGTTCATACTCTCCCTCACTTGATGATTCTGGGTATTCATGTGGTGGAGTTGGTGGTATCTCAATAATAGGCTCGGTGTTATGCCTTTCTGTACTTTTTCCCATTTCAATTTGGCACTGATACATGTGTTCACGACTTGGTTTGACCATTACAGCATCATCTATTCTTTCAACCATGTCTGTTTGCCCTCCTTCATCCTTCTGACTATACTTCAGAAGGGCGTCGTGCCTGGCTCTATTAAGAAACACCACATTGCATTATTTTCTTCATTAGAACAAAGTGTACTTAATAATGAATATTTATGAAAAGACAAATTAAAATGTTGTACCTTTATAAATAAGTAGGATGAATAGAAAACTTTACATTTAGTTTCACTAGTTGAAACCTTTATATGTTTAGCTTCTCAGCTAAAGAAAAATCATAAATGCAACAATATAGTGCCAATGATGTATTAAATAGGCTGGATATTGAAACTAACATTTCAAAGAGACTTTTGTAGTACTTGCAATCTTCGGTAAATGGGCAGGCGCCACAATTCGGTCGATTTTTGGCGCATATTAACTATCATAGCAAATAAGCCACATCATCAGTACTGAGAAAACAAAACAAAAATCCATTTACATTCCTTTCCAAAAAAAAAAACAAATCAATTTGCATACCTTTCCAAATGTTATTTGTTGGCAATGCAATTCATACCTATATTTGTCATCATATATTAGATTATATATATTATAGTATTCCATGGACAAAGTTCTAGGAAAGCAACTAAATTAACAGTTCAAACTAGAGAACTTACCGTATGTGTGAAGGAATATTGCAGAATAAGGGCTCAAGATACTCCTGAATTTTAGCCATGACAGGTTCTCTTTAAATGGACAAAAGATGGTGATGAGGAATATTGAAGTTCGAGTATGTAAATGTGCACATGAAAAACTGAAAGATGATCTTACTTGTCCACCATATGGAACTCTATAGAATCACCTAAAGGTTGAAGTGGGACCCATCCTAGCCTTGTCACTATGCGAGCTACATTTACATCAACCTAAAATAATAAGAAGAATTTATCATAATTTTGTTAGTTCCAAATGCACTCCCCTATGAGAATAACTATTTCAATTTGGAAGTGGTAGCTTGCCGGAAATCCTCTGTGCCTCAGTGATAGGAGACGGATGCAGTCAACACTTTTATATCCAATCCCTATTATACTCTGTAGGTACTTCCTGAATGAATGGACAAAAAGAAAATACGAATACTTATTCATTCTGTGCCTAATTTTTTTATTTGCAAAAATATAAATCTTTAGTATCAATTCACTAAAATGAATATCTTAGCGTCGCTACTCTTTAAATTAAAGTCCCTTAAAGAGACACATTTTGTGTAAGCTTACCAGCACTAATACGAGTTTATAAATGTATTTGTCTTACTTTGCTGAAGTCCCTTAAAGAATCACATATTTTGTGTAAGCTTACAAAGCACTAATACGAGTATATAAATATATGTATCTTACTTTGCCTTTGCACGGGGGATGTATCTAAGCCACTCGAGGTCAATGCTTCCTTGATCTCTCTTGATCCGAATGAGTAAAAACTGTAGAAAGTATACAATATCAGATAATACACTTTATGTTCATTTAATCGACTAGAGAATTAGTTTCAACCTCATTACAACAAACAAAATGAAATGTATGGAAGGAGTACTACTTTGTACAAAGATTATGCTTTCGTAAGGACAATGCAACAAAGTTGTGAAATTAATGAAAAAGAATAAAAAATTGACATTTTAACTAATAGCTGTTATGCTTGTAAAAAAAATCAAATATAAAAATCTCTAGTCTAGATCGAAATGTCTCCATGATCTCTTGGATGCGCCTTAATATAGTTTGTTTTGTAAAATTATTATCTCTCTGCTCTCGAAACTGAATCATTCACACCCCCTGCCGCCCCCGACCCCACGCACCTACCTGACGCAACAGCCAGTCCTCATCTCATCGAAAAAACGCGAGCCCCCCACGCCCTTCGCCTCGCCCCCGACGCCGAGCGCCGCCGTCGCCGCCATCGCTCAGTGCTTATCGCGCCATCTGGCGGCTCCATGCTCTCCCCGCAGCCAGCATCCTCCAGATCCCTTCCCTAACTCACCTCCCCGAACCCTAGGGCCACAACACACCTTGCCGCCTCCACCTTCGTCTTTGTAGCGAGACGGCGGTTGCGGACCACAGCCCTGTGGAGGATGAGACACAAGTGACCCTGGTGAGACTGGATCCAGATGCCCTTTCTTCCCCAGCGGGCGAGCTCAGCCCCCGCGGTGGCCCCAGCGGGCGCACCTCCAAGGTTATGCGAGTGTCCAGCGACCCGCGCGAGCATGGCGAGGGCGGCTCCAGTGACCCGCGAGAGCACCTTGAGAGCTGCTCCGATGGCCGGCTGCATCGGAGGCAACTCCAGCAGCCTGATTCGTGGGAGATGAGCAAGGCTCCTGGTAGATTAGTGTTATTAGGAGGATCCATTTCATTTTTATATTTAATACATGTTATTTGATGGCTGCCGGATTTTAGCATGGTTGAATCTGTTCATGACAATATTGTGCTGAACAGCAAGTGTATCAAGGACTTCATTGCATTAATCAAACCAGTAGATGATTAGTAGCAAGTGGCTATCCACAATAATTAAGGAGCTGAAAATTTGTATCCACTCTCTTGCATCTTTGGCAGGTAACTTATGTTTGTTTATGTTACAACTGACAACTGAAACCTTCAAGTTCCACCTATAACCCTGATATTAGTTAAGGTGCATTGGTGTCAACTTTGACACTGAAACATGAGCATACTTTGCCTGCAGTTAAGGTGCACAGCACACTGACAGCAGACTGGGGACCCAATGAGCTGCTGCATGATTCTTGTGATTTTTGTAATGCTTCATTGCTGTGATTAAATCTCTAATTAATTCATGCTTTTGTTTTCTTATATGTGGTCAAGAGCATAAAGGGGTTTGGTGAACGATGATGGGATGCATAGGTGGTTTGAGGACACCGAAATGTCATTTTTCTTGAACTTAAAACTTCATGTCTTTAGCTTCTCACTGAAAGTTCATAACAGTTCTTATACTTCCAGCAGTCTATTGTTGATTGGTATTATGTTAGGGTGGTTACAGTTTACAAAATGGAATATGCAAATAGATATCTTATGTAATAGAGCCACATAAGAACCTTCTCAAAAATCTTGTTTTACATGTCGTTTGAATCATGCTTGGCACAAGTCGGTCTCCTGTAAATGTTGGTGCTAATTTGCTACCTATTTGACATCACTGAATTTGCTGCAAGTTAATTAGGCTTAATGTGTTATTGTTGTCCAGGAGCTTTTCCCCTACAGATCTTATACTTGCGGCAGTGGTGGTTGGGAAATGATGGTCTAATGCGTATTTATTAATTATTATGCATAAAAAAACTGGTGATTCCAAGGGTGTCTAACATGGGTGATGGGTTACAAATATAGTCGATGTTACAACATATTATCTCTGCCCATTCTGCTCTTGATCTTATGGATTTTTTTGTTCTGCTGCAGATACATTTTGCTGCAAGTCCACGAGACTCGAACAATTTGGTAAAGTATGACAGGAAAACTGGATACTTTCAAATTACTGGCCTGACAAGGATTTCCGGTTATTACTATATTAGTCATAGAACTATTCCGACAATGAGTGCCTAAAGCCTACAATGGGGGATATTGAGATGTGCTGACTGTTTTCTCTGAGTGATAATTTGAGCATGTTGGTGCAAGCTAGATGAGAAAATGAAACTGGCAAAGCTTTTGGACTGTGTGCTGATTCCTGTGAAAGGGAGCTTGGAGGATCCTAGCGCAAAGGTCAATGTTCTGCCGCAAGCTTTTTTTTCCTGTCGATTACACTTTATAATTCCAATATGGTATACATCAAGGTTCAAACTGGAAGGCCTTTCTCTTAGTTCTGATATGGTATACATCAGATAGGTAGCACTTTTTTTTTTCTGTCAATTACACTTTATAATTCGTTTGCATGCTTTCACCTTACTTAATACACTTTTTGAACCTAAATTTCTTGCTTATATTGTACTCCATTTCGCCCCTTCTGTAATGCAGAGTGCTGGCCATCTCTTGGGAGCATTGTCTGAGATTGTTCTGAAGAGGGGATGGGCTCAACTAGCGGACAGGGAGATCTGATGAAACTGGAGAAAAAATGATTTGGCATTGGAGAGGTACTATGATCTGTCATCATAAGAACAAACCCCTTATCCCAAGATGGGGAGACTGGTGCACAAGTGCATTCAGCAGTTACCCAAATTGAACCTGTCAGAGAACAATGAGCTGATATAGCCATTTGTGAAATTTTCCCGATGTACTCAATAGGGAGACAGCTAGCTTCAGTTGGTAGCAAGTTGCTTTAACTTTATTATTGGCGCCAACATTGTTTCGAAAACCCTTCTTATGGGACCAACAACTTTGATTAACATAGTTTTGTCACCCGTAGCAATGCACGGGCATTGGCTAGTCTAGTTAGAAATCTTGGTATACATGTTAGAAATACTAGCTAGCATTCAAAACAAAACGTGCTAGATAAAAATTAGGTGTCATAAAAAGAGAAGACATGCATTGGAATTTTATATGGTACGGTTTGTGACTACGTACCAGTATTCTGAATGCCATCAGGCAGTGAGTTCCACGGTCCTTGATGCATTCTTCAATTTCACCAAACGATGCGTGCAGTAGAGCCTCCCAATCAATTGTTTCATCTGTTTCCTCCTTCTGATACCCATTTTTGTAGGCTTCCTCAAGCAGGTATTTCCAATGAGAAGTATCGTTCTCTAGGAAAGATTTAATATCCTGTAAAATTTTCTTAGCCGTCGAATCTTCAAACCTTTCCTTCAACACCTCCTTTATATGCTCTTTGTCCTTGTCCCAATTTGATATTTCTCCTGTTCTGAGCGATGCAATGAGCTGGTTTATGTGCTTATTATCACGTCGTTTAGACACTCCTGAATCACAATCTGTTATCAAAGGTACATTTGTACTTTGGCCGGCATTGCTTCCATTCTTCGCAAAGGAGAACTTCGCAGCAATGTTCATGAAAACATTGCTGAAAAATCCAGAATGGTAGTTAATTAGGATTGTCCAAGCAATTAATTTGAAAACTAATTAATAATTATATAAAAAATGAATAGATTTGAGTTTAGCCTACCTTGATGTAACGTCAGTGACATTTTGTGTTAGAAACGTGCCGACCACGTTAGTAAGTACGGATCCTTTCCAATTCGAAAACTCCCTTTTACCTGTGTGTGTACACGAAAATATATATCTCAGGATCGATTTCCTTGTGTTAATTAACTCAAACACTATACATGAAAATATATGTTAGGGCTTCCTTCATGTTAATAACTCAAAAAAACACAAATAATACATGTTATGAACACAGGAATATAATTAATGATACATGAATGTTACCGATGATTGCGCGTGCAGGCCCCATGAACTTATCCACCAAGACCTGCAAACGTTGGCGCTCCTCTTCCAGCTCAGGGCCCTCAGGGACGCCGTCCAGGTCGTCGCCCAAGCACGTCTCGTCCGATCGCACCAGCTCGTTGTACGCCGCCTCTATCGCGGGGGTGATGCGCACCAGCTGCCGCAGCGTCTTCGCGTCGGGAAGCACCACGGACTCGAACCCCCAGTGCGGCACGTACATCAGCTCCGTTCCAGCGGACTCGTTGCGAATGGCGAGAGCCATGGCGATGGGGTCATCGTCATCAGCAACGATGGCGTCTTCATCTTCATCAGTAGCGGCATCGGCCCGCTGCTTGCTCTTGTAAGGCTTCAGGACAAGTTTGGCCACCCGTCTTGTCAGCATCGCCTTCTTCTTCTTGCCCTTGGTGGTGCCCTGCCCATTTGCCATGGAGGTGGTGGAGGTGTCGACGACGGCGAGGGGTAGCAGCAGGGTGTTTTGCTTGGCGAGGGACCTCAGGTTCTCCATCAGCTGTGCTCGGCTGTAGTAACGCAGATCGATCTTCGGCGATGCTGGCGTGCGGGGTGGCTTCTTGACGTCGTCGCCCAAGGTGAGCCTAGCGAGGGATCTCAGGTTGTCCATGAGCGTGGCCCTGCTGAAGCAACAGAGCGGTGTGCCGCTGCCGACCTTGGCATCGTCCAGGTCGAGCCTGCGGCGCACCAGCAGGGGGTTTCCGCCGACGCCGCCATCGCCAGCTTCCTCCTCCAGGTCGAGCCTACAACGCACGGGGTTTTCGACAGCGCCATCACGGCCGGCTCCTGTCTTCTTCTTCCTTGCCTTGCGCACCGACGCTTTCTTAGCTGTTAGCGACGGCTTTGGCCTGACCTTCCGTGGGGTAAGAAGCTTGAATTTGAGCTTCCCTTTTTGGGAACGCTTCTTCCTCCATCTGGATCGTGGGAGGACCTCCGCTGCCATGATCGGAGGGGTCGAAGGCGGCGTAGAAGATTCAATCGACATCGCAGCCATGATCCGAGGGGTCGAACGTAGCAGATGGTTGAAGCGGCTACCGGCGGCTACGTACGTATCGTACCGGTCTTCCTCCATGGCTCCACACCGCTATGCAGATTGCAGAACTCGGAGTCGGATCGATCTCTCCTCGCGGGCAAGAGATAAGGTTCCTTAAACCTCACACGAGAGAGTTTTGCGGGCGCACGGAGGCGGCCTGGCGTGCAAATTTGCACGAGAGAATTCGGGATCACCATGTTTTTTTTACATAAAACCGCCCGCGTGCAAATTTGCAGAGACCCCCCTCCCGTTGCCCAGTGACCAGCGCTCCCACCCCCCTCATTCTTCTTTCTCCTTTCTCTCTTCTTCCCATCGCCGCCGCCCCGCTCGCTGCTACCCGCAGGCGCCTCCCCAGTCTCGCTGCTACCCGCAGGTGCCTCCCGGCTCGCCGCCTCCAGGGAGGCACGCCCGCCCGCGCTTCAAGCGTCCACTAGGGTCATGGCGTGCAGGGCTACGAGGTAGAGCGGTCGAGGCCAGATTTGCTTTTGCTGATGCGCGGCGGGAGACCATTTACCTTTCACACACCATCCAGGGACGATGGGATGCCTGTGGACGGCGCAGCGGCGGTCCGGGATTGCTCCAGCCCGTGTGCGGTGTCGACTTTGGGCGGCTCGAACCCATCCACAGCTGCGCGGAAGCAATGGCGAGCGGATCTACAGTTGGTTGTTCAGGGCGGCGCGAACTCGCACATGGCGGCGGACCGGCGGTGCTGTGTGACGGCGCACGCAGTGGATGATCTTCGGCAGCGCGGTGTGGGCTGGTACTGTTTAGGCCTGTGCATGATGCTACACAGGGTGATGGTGTGGGCCCTGTCGCCGTTCCTTTGCCTCACGCTCACCTCGGCCGCAGCTTCTTCCATGACGTGGGAATGCTGTGTCCGCCTGCTCAGCCCCTTCCTTTCAGGTCGCCTTTGGTTGCATCTCGGTTGGATTTACTAAAAATATGTTCATTTCCTTGCAGATCCAGAGAACTTAGCATGAGATCCAAGACAATGTGAGTTCAGGAGTACAAGATCATAATAAGCTGGCTTGAGGCTACAGGTGGATTTATGTTTTTGCATTTTCTGTTTCTACTACAAGCTAGCAAGGAACTTCCTATGTCTGAACATTTGATCGATCATAGTGATACAATATTAGCATAAACCATTTTGCTGATCATGATCCAAGCTTTCCAACTGAAGTTGATCCAATATTGACATAGATTATGTAGATGATCGTGATCCAAGCGTGCCAACTGAAAATGATGCTGATCGTAACATTCCAATGAATCCTGAAGAGGTAACCTGTGTCCAATATTTGAGTAATGTTTCATGATTATTTTACCTGTGTTCAGAGTATTGGTGCAGCTACCAAAATTTACTCAAGGTACACAGGAGAACATATAGATACATATGCCTTGTGTAGGTCACACCTGGCAAGTGTTTGTATCCATCCTTGTGGGCCGTCCTGTTGTGTAGAGAAGTGCTCTGGCCTGTGACCTTGTGGAAATTCTCTGCAATAGGCTATTGGTGCATGTTCTTTTTCTCTTGTATCAAAGAACTTCATTAGAAATTTCCTCAATGATATCTACCGTTGAGCAGCTGCCAACACTTTTATTTGTCAAACTGCTCACTGTTGATGCTCTTGCTTTTGAAGCAATACATAGACTGTCATTGTCATGTCATAATATCATGACTACTGAAATGTGCTCCTATTTTATGAAGGGTATAAAGGTAGCCATGCAATCGATTGAGGATCCTGTCAATCTATGCACATATTTATCCATCTAGAAATTTTTCAGCTAATCAATAGTGCATATTCTAAAACACATAATCTCATATAGTGCCAATACTCTACAGGTTATACAGCAGTGGAGTTAAGCCATGGACCGACATTGCCCCTTAGTAAATCAGTGAAATCAAAGGTTTTTCCAGGCGTGTCGAAAGGTACTGGCCATTGCTCAACTTGCTAGAGGCCACCACGAGGACTGATAATGTTAACAGCAGTGCCTTTGTCAAGCTCTTGAAGAAGAGTGTTACCACCCTTAATGGCTACACGAGGCAAGGTTTCCCTTTCGACTCCTGGGAAGTGATAGCGTTGGTGCTGGAGGCCGTTGCTATTCAGGCCGATTGGTTTGAATAGGTAAACAAGTCCTAAATTAGTAAATTTGAAGGATGATATTGTGATCAAGCAGCTGTTTGTCCTGCTTGAAGCAGTATCAGAAGGAAAACATGGCACTTGATAACTTAGAAATATAGTTGGTGATATATGTGTGTTGAACTGATGTTTTCATATCTTTATTTATCTCAGTCCATCTCACCGTAATGTTCTTGATTAGGTCTTTGCTTTGTCTCTTGTGCCTAGATGCAATATTTTCTGCAATGGTAGTTTTCTGCAACTGCCGTTGCTTCCAGAGTTCATACATTGGATCAGTTTTCACAATCTGGCCGGTAGGGCGTCGCGAAACGTGCAAAATTTTCTAGTATAGATGGTGACCGAGGGTTAAAACGGTTTCATCATCATACACTACACCGTAGATATAGAGTTGCAAGTGGGATGTTTTGCGGCGTCCGCAGGCAGGCTCATCTAGTGTGGTCGCGTATGTAAGTGCTGTTGTGGGTTCTGTCGTGATGGAGGATGAAAACGGTCAGAAACGGTACTATAATCAATCCGAAAGCGGTCGGTATGAGATTTTTCTGTTTTGAAGAAGCCTTCTAATTCTGTCTTCTGTCTGGATTAATTAGAAGGCTTCTTCAGCTCCTTCTAATTCTGCCTTGGATTCGACTTGCTCGGCGTCTGCTTCTTCAGGCTGTCACCGACGCCGAGGCCACAGCTCTCCCTTGCCACCACGGTAGCAGCAGCGTTCACAGCGCTGCTCTTGCGTCCACGATCTGCAGCAGCTTTCGTGGCTGGAACCGGAGCCTCTCCCCTGACGCCGATGCTGCGCCATCACGATCTACAGGTGCTGTTGGCGCGCATACCGGGCAATGCAGGAGTAGCAGCAGAACACAGACGAGGGGAGTGCAGGCAGCGATGGAACTCATGGCTGGGACGTGTGCTTGCGGCGAGGCGATCGAACCACTAGCCCACTACTACGACGATACAAACTGCCAGGCAGGCGATTGTGAATTATGGAGAGGAAGGCAAGGTTTTGTAGTGGACAGTGGAGTAGGCGTGTGGATTGTGATGGGCTACTGCTCGCTGTGGAACAGGAACTTGAGAGCGAGCGGCCGCTCTGATCCGGCTGCTCTGCCTGTATGCATGCTTCTTCTCAGATTCTGTTTCCTGCTGCAGACAGTCGACGTTGGCACTGTGAGGCTGCTGTCGCACCAATGCCAATGTCGCCAGGCCGGATCAAGCTTGACGCCTCCTTGTTTTTGGATGATGGATTAGACAGAGGAAAGCACCACAAAATGGGGGTGAAGAACTCAATCAGTGGCTAGTAGTAGTAGTAGAGATAAATAAAACAATATAAACACATCTTTACGGTACTAGTTTAGTTTTAGTTTGTTCCTGCTGCTGTTTTTCACATGTGAAATCTGCGCAAAAGTAGTTACCACTCTCCTGGATGCTACAAGTTCTATTTGTTACTCATCTACCCGATCCATACTCGTTAATATGTACAAGTTTGCCTCTGATCATGCATCCATCCATAGCTTTGCAATTGCTCCTTCATCACTAGTGACAACATCTAAGTGCACTGGGCATCATTGCCTTCCACTGAATTCGGGCTTGAATCAGGCATGTGCCTTTTCTTGCCGGTTAATTTCTGCTCTTCATCTTCATTAGTGTTATGAGATGCAGTAGATAATTTTGTTGCACGCCTGCTACTGCGGTCAAATTCTCTACAACATATATACCATGCACAAATCCGAAGATAACCGACTGTGATGAAAAACAAAATGACTTCTCTCCATCTAAAAAGTCTGAACTTATCTCATGAGAAACACTAAATGAACGTATATATGGTTAATGAACCCTAAGAGAAGGGGCAGAAAAATATGCTAACTAATAGCATTTATTGTTAACGTTTTTAAAGATCTTATCTTTAGAACAAAATTAATAGTGAGGAGTTCCACACTACATTACATATCTACAATCCATTGAAGCCCTCTGTTCCTATAGGAGCAATAACTTTGTATCATATTGTAATTGTTTTGTTCACATAGAAGAAACATAACATAACTGTAAGTGCAATCAAGCCCTAATTGTGGGTTTTGGTGATAATGACCATGCAATTAGATAACTAATGAGATTTATCGAGATGACAAACAGGAGAATCATTAGAGAGGATGTTATGTATAACGGAGGAGCCCCCAATCACAAAAGGTGATGGCATCAAGCTCAAAGGAGATTTATTTCATTTTATATTTTGAATTTGAGTATGGGAAAAGCCGTACTATAAAAGGGGACACAATGCTTAAGTCAATATGTGAAACCAAGTGCTCAATCCTACACTAAAGCATCCTCAAAGTTCAGCCAAGACAACCAGCTCAACACTCCTTTACCCCTTGTCGTTCGGCTTGAGTGCAAAGGCGATCAAGACTTTTGAAGCCTTGCAACCTTTAGAGAGAGATAGGCATGCATTGCCGTGACTTATCTGACCGTTGGGACCAGGGGAGGTATTTATACTTCTCCCTCACCCTCACAACGGTCTTCTGCTTCATCCCATCAGACCGACGGAGAACAAACTTGTGCTCACTCTCTCTCTCTCTCCTCCATTGGTGCCCTAAAGCTCTCAAGCTTTCCCTTATTATTTCCCCATCAACCCTTGAGAGAAAAAGGTCCCAAACTCGATTAGAGAGCAGATCCACTGATTCCCCAACTCTAATATGCACTTGGTTTATGTTTTGGCCAGCAGTTGTGTTTGTTACTCTTGGAGCTTTGCTCCTAGCCGGCTAGAGCGTCACCCGTGGAGCTTGCCAACTTGTA